ATTTTTTAAAAATTTTTTAAAAATTTTAAAGATTTTTGTGTATTCATTTGAGAGAGACAGAGATAGCGAGACAGAACACAAATGGGGAGGAGAGGGAGAAGCAGGCTGCCTGCTGAGCAGGGAGCCTGATGCAGAACTCGAGCCCAGGACCCTGGGATCATGACCCAAGCCGAAGGCAGACACTTAACCAACTGTGCCACCCAGGTGTCCAAGAGTTGGACGTTTAACCAACTGTGCCACCCAGGCACCCCTACACTCCTCAGTGTTAATCTCAAATTGGTAGATATCAATAGCTATAACCCACATAAACAGCTCAGGGTGTCCTCAGTTTTTTTGAGACTTTGTTTTTTAGAGTGGTTTTAGATGCACAGCAAAGTTGAGCAGAAGGTACAGAGATTTCTCACAGACCCCCTGCCCCGGGCACAGCCTCCCCCACCATCAACATCCCCCACCAGAGAGGTACATCTGTCACAGTTGATGAACCTGCGTTGTGTAAGGGAGGAAAAATACCTTCCCCTCTACTCTTCTGAGTTCTTAGCTGAGACCTCTGTGATAAAAGACAGATTAGCAAGAGAAAAACAGGCAGAAGTTTATTAACATCCATAACTCATATATGCGTGGGAGATACCCAGGGAAAAATGAGTAGCTCTCTGAGGTGGCTTGAGATTCAGGCTTGAATATCATCCTAAGAGGGAAAGGGGAGGGGGAAGTAGGCCTCTTAGGGGAGAGCGAATGATTTTGAGGAGAGATAAATGGGCCCTTAGAAGATTAGGTGGGATATGTGATAGTTTATGACCAAGTTTGGATATCACCTAGTTTCTTCTCCTGTAATGGGCCACTCTTTCCTGGTTGATGAGACTCTTGGAGAGGTGGTTTATAATAATTGAGTTCCCTTTGGAAGATCTGTCTTTAGGCAGATAAGGTGTTGTTTTAGGACAAATGTATAATGACATGTATCTACTGTTATAGTATCATACCGAGTGTTTTCACTGCCCTAAAAATCCTCTCTGCACCTCTTACTCATCTCTCCCTACCTCCATCCTAACTCCTGACAACCACCGATCTTTTTAACTGTCTCCATAATTTTGCTTTTTCCAGAATGTCCTATAGTTGGAACTGTAGACTATGCAGGGCTCTTCAGACTGGCTTCTTTCACTAAGTAATATACATTTAAGATTCCTCCACATCTTTTCATGGCTCGATAGATCATTTCTTAGTAGTGCTGAAGAATATTCCATTGTCTGGATGTACCACAGTTTATCCATTCACCTACTGTTGGACATCTCGATTGCTTCTAAGTTTTGGCAGTTATGAATAAAGCTCCTATAAACATCCATGTGCAGGGTTTTATGTGGACATAAGTTCCTACCTCCCATGGGTAAATACCAAGGAGGGATTCCTGGATGGTAAGACATGTTTAGTAAGAAACTGCCGGGCAGTCTTCCCAAGTGTTGCATTCCCACCCGCAGGGAGTGAGGGTTCCTGTCCCTCCACATCCTCACCCATATTTGGGATCATCAGGGGTGGGGATTTGGGCCATTCTAGTAGGTGAATAGTGGTATCTCATTTTATTTGTATTTTCCTGACAACATATGAAGTGGAACACCTTTTCATATGCTTCTTTGCCATCTCCCTATCTTCTCTGGTGAGGTGTATTTTGGACAACAGTCCTTTTTCAGATGTGTCTTTTGAAACTATTTTCCCACAGTCTGTGGCTTGATTTCCCATTCTCTTGACAGTGTCTTTCGCAGAGCAGCAATTTTACTGAAGTCCAGTTTATGAATTCTTTTTTTCATGGTTTGTGCCTTTGGTGTTGTCTCTAGAAAGTCATTGCCATACCCCAGGTCATCTAGATTTTCTCCCATGTTGTCTTCTGGGAGTTCAATAGCTTTGTGCTTTACATTTAGGTCTATGATTTTGAGTTAGTCTTTGTGAAGGGTGGAAAGTCTACATCTAGATTCATCTTTTTTTTGCATGTGGATGTCCAGTTGTTCCGGCACCACTTGTGAAAAAACTGTTTTTGCTCCATTGTATTGCCTTTGCTTCTTTGTCAAAGATCAGTCGACTGTATTTATGTGGGTCTATTTTTGGGTTCTCTATTCTGTTCCATTTATCTATCTGTCTCTTCTTTCACTGCTTCACAACTATCTTGATTATTATAGCTTCATAGGAAGTCTTGAAGTAGGGTTGTGTCAATCCTCCAATTTTGTTCCTTTTTTTTTTCTAAAGATTTTATTTATTTATTTGACAGAGAGAGACAGCGAGAGAGGGAACACAAGCAGGGGGAGTGGGGCTTTCTGAAAGCTACATGAGGTGTGATACTGAGGGAGAAGCCGGCTTCCTGCCGAGCAGGGAGCCCGATGCGGGGCTCGATCCCAGGACCCTGGGATCATGACCTGAGCCGAAGGCAGACGCTTAACGACTGAGCCACCCAGGCACCCCCTCCAATTTTGTTCTACTCCTTCAATATTGTGTTGGGTGTTTAGGGTCTTTGGGTCCTCAGTTTTTAAGAGTCTAAAAGGTGGGAGGGAGGGTCCTGAGACCAAAAAGTTTGAGAACTGCTGTTGTAGAGACAGATGGGCACACAGATGAGTGTATTAAATTCTTTTGTTTGGAAAGAGGATAGAATGTGGTGGAAGGGAACCCAAACTGAGTTTTGTACATCTTATTGCCCTGTTTTAGGAGCTGAGCAAGCTTGTTGTGTTAGGGCACATCTCTGAGAGTCCAAATTTAGATGGTGTGTGACAGAGACAGGAGCCTGGTCTCAGAGAGAACCCTAGAGGGGTGTAGGACATGAATTGTTGTCTTCCCTGGGGACCAGAGAACGCAGGGCAGATGAGGGAGGTTTGGAATTGGTGTTTCCATTTCTTTGAGCGAAAGGTGAGTCTTGGGTATTAGGATTGTGCACATGAACCAAGCACCGTGCCTCTTCATCTCTGCAATTAAGATGTGTTAACTCTCAAGAATAAATCAGGTTAAAAGGGCAACAATCACATCTTGTACTGTTCACCTACCCCCCTTGAAGTTCTGCAGGAAACATATGCAGAGGGGAAAAGGTGAGGCTTTGGTCTCAAACCCCAGGATTAACCCCCCCCAAAAAACCCCAAAACCCTGTTGTGTGGGTCTCCTCCAGAGAGAAAGCTTTATTTGCTGAAAGAGGCCAGTTGCTTTCTCTGCTCCATTCTTGCAGGCCACACCCCAGACTCAGACCACTCCTGCGCTGGGTGAGGCCGGCAGCTGACTAGAGCGGGCCCGTGCCATCTCCCACCTGCACTGTCAGGCCACCCAGCTGCTCTCAGGCCCAGTTGACCTCATCAGCTGCAGGAGATTCTTGAGGGATCCCAAGAGCAAGCCAAAGCAAGCAAGCCTGAAGGCCAAGCCTTCCTGTTCCCTAACCACGTGGAAGGATATCACTCCCAGGGACCACCCTTGATTGCCTCCCATCCTTTAGCCACTTGCCAGACACCCTGAAAGCACCAGTTCAGGCCCCGTGCCCGAAGTAACAGCATTCTTACTGGGGAGGCAGGGCTGTTTTTAACCTAGGGAAACCAGTGGGTTCAGAGGGTCTGCAGAGGTCCAGAGATCAGGTGGTCTGTGCTGTTTTATGGGGAGAAGGTCTAGACTTTTCATCAGATTTCAAAGATGGGGAAAGTCCTTCCTTATAAAAAGTTAAAGGATCATTGTGTTAGCAGGCAACACTAGTTAGAGCCGTCCTGTTGCAGGTTAGTCCAGGAGTCCATTCAAGCATATTAATTCAGCAAATAGTTGATTTGCTCTCCATGCCTGGCTCGGTGCTGAGGGCTGGAGACGCAATATTGAGTAAGACCAGATGGGATCTCTGTGTCGTTGAAGCGCACAGATGTAAATCAAATACTCACACAAATGCATGTCTAATTTAAAAAATCAAATGTTGCTCTGAATTTCAGAATCTGGTTCTATGATAGATACAATAGTGGATGTTTAGTTTTTGTTTTTGTGTATTTGTTTATTTTTGAATAGGTACTATATTCATGTTGAAAATTCAAAAGGATTATATAGTGAAAGACCACTCCACCCCCACCCCCGGCACCGCGCCACCCACTTACCATTATCCCTCAGCCACTCCCTGGAGGCCATGCATGCTTCATAACATGAGTGGCTGTTCTGCTGTTCAGCGGGGGCGGAGGAAGGGGAGTGTAGAGAAAGCTTACCTGAGGATATGACACTTGAAATCTGAATCATGAACGTGAAGTGAAGAAGACTGGAAGGGCATAGGGGAGGCATTCTAGGTAGAGGCAATAGCTTATGCAAAGGCCCTGTGGCAGGAGACAGCCTGATGTATTAGAAGAATGAAAAGAAAGCCTATATGGCTCAAGTGCAGAAAGCAAGGGGAGGAGAGGTCCAGGATGCTGCTGGGTGGAGAGGGTGCAGTCTTGTAGCTCTCTTAGCATTGTGGACTTTTCCCTAAGAGCCTGGCAAGCCACTGAACAATGAGAGGAGGTAACCTTCAATCACACTTGCATTTTGAAAATGTTACCCTGGCTGTAGTATGGAGAATGGATTGTAGGGGAAAGCAGTTAATATGCTTATTTAGTTCAAGTGAGAAATGATGTGGCTTGGTGGTGGTGATGTATCTCTATATATTGCAAGAAATGCATTGGTATACAAGATTCTTCCGAAAAATGTGAACAAAATGTTTGTTGCCGTTCTCTCAACCTAGTGGAAGAAAATTCCATAACAAGAGTCAGCTTAGAATGTAGTTAACACCCCGGTTGTATTTGGTCCAAGTGCGTGGCCGAACTAACAGGATAATTTAGCATCCTGTAAGAGGCTGGTGGGCAAAGGTCTGAAGTCTCATAAAATCTTGCTAGAAGTCCTCTGGTCCCGGCTCCTGCTTGAGCACCCCAAAGACATCTCTCCTGTGCGGGAGCCCTCCAGTGGCTGGAGGTTGTTACTGTTGTTACCAAGTCATAACAGAATGACCATGTGGGTGCTGTGCGCTAATTAGGAAACAATTGTTTCGGTCTCTGCACACTCAGTTTTCCTTATCTTCCCCTGACCCCCCCAGAATGGCTTATGCTGAGGAGCAGGGAGGTACCCCGTGTGGTTTCATCCGCCAGAATTCCGGCAACTCCATTTCCTTGGACTTTGAGCCCAACACGGAGTTCCAGTTTGTGGAGCAATTAGAGGAGCGCTACAAATGTGCCTTCTGCCACTCCGTGCTGCACAACCCCCACCAGACGGGCTGTGGGCACCGCTTCTGCCAGCAGTGCATCGTGTCCCTGAGGTGAGCTCGCAGGGCCTGCAGCTCCGGTCGCAACCAGAGGCGGGGGGGCGGGGTGTTCCTGGGACCCAAGTGTCCAGAGTGACCGCGCGAGCGGAATGGTGGCTTTGGGGATTGCTGTGGTTGGCCACAGAAGCATGAACACGAGGAGGGCTCTCCCGGAGCCCTTCTCCGAGAGCCTAAGGAATCATGGTTTTTGGTTTTTGGGGTTTTTTTGCCACTCCCACTTACTGATAGTCACCTTCCCCCACCCTTTCTTTTACATCAAGCATAATGAAAATACAGTGTTCTGTTAGTTTCAGGTGTACAATATAATGAGTCAAGAATTCTGTACATGACTTGGGGCTCATTTCAGCCACCTGTTTTTAAAATGTAGCTCACACCTGTTTTGCACGGCCGGGCAAACCCTGATGCACAGTCTCTGTTGGGACGGACCTGCGTTTCACAGGGGTCTTTGTGGTGGTTGCTTGGACCTTTCCTTGCCAAAAGGCAAAGGTGGTGTCACATCCGCAAAGGGACCGCACCTCAGTGGCAGCTGTAAAACCTGGGTCCTGCCATTTTGAAGGTGGAGACCAAGATAGATGTGGAGGCAGGCTTTGGGGGCTTATTTAGGGCAGTAAGTAAGCTGTCTCCTACCAAGCTTGGAAAGGGGGTTATTATAGCACATTCTCATTCATTCATGGGTTTGTCCATTCAGCACCTGTGTGTTCCAGGCACCTTACTAAACTAAGCTCTAGGGCATGGAGAGGAAGGGCTGGAGGTTCAGTGCAGAACAGGACCCAGTGTCTGCCCTCTAGAATGCTCCAGCCTAGTGAAGGAAAGAGGCTGTGTTACAGGGTGATAAGCACTGGCAGAGGACATCGAACTCTGTCTGGGAGACTTACTAATTGACCTGCATCCTGGGGAATGAACGGGAGTTTTTCAGCAGACTGGGGAGGTGCTGAAGCTACAAAGGGGGGGGTAGGGGAGAGATAGAACCCTTCCTGGGGGAGGGAGCGGCAGGAGGGGAGACGGGCCCAGCCTGTTCAGGGGGGGAGCTCTAAGGGGTCAAGCATGGCGGGAGTGCTGGGTCTGCTCTTGGAAGAGCTGTTGAGGTCAACTCTTAATTCGTCTCTATTTTTATTTATCTCTCCAGAGAATTAAATGCAGTCCCACTCTGTCCCGTAGATAAGGAGGTTATCAGATCTCAGGAGGTAAGAAAATCCCCACTTTGGTTTAGCAGTTCGCTGGGTGATGGAGAAGCCAGTGTCCTGGGTTGAACTGGACATAGAGGTTGGAGCAGTAGAGCAGGAGAGGGGTCCCTTTCTTAGAGTCCACATTCCTCTCCTATGGGGTCAGGTCAGACCCCACTCCTACCACTGTTTCAGAGGCTTCTTTGGGTCTTTAATGACTCCACACCCCAGTTTTTCCTCTGTTCTCTCCTTACCCCCTTCCTACACCAGCTCCAGGTATACTGAGTTGCTTGGAGAACTGAAACATCCTGTTCCCCGGAATTCACTTTCTCCTCTGGAACTAGAACTTCCTTCTATTATTATTATGTCTAACAATAGCTTTATTTAGATACAATTCATATGCCCTAAAATTTACCTTTAAAGTGTACGTGTTTCTTGGGTATACACCCAGGAGTCGAATTACTGGGTCATGTGGTAATTCTGTTTAGGTCATAATGGTCACTCTATGTGTAACATTCTGAGGAACTGTCGGGTTATTTTCCAAAGCAGCTGCACCATTTTACATTCCATCCAGCAGGTTGTGAGAGTTCTAATGTCTTAGATCCTTGCCAAAAGTTGTTACTGTCCACCTTTTTGATTATAGTCTTTCTAGGGGGTACCTGTTTTGATTTGCATTTCTCCGATGATTAAGGATATGGAGCATCTGTCATGTGTTTGTCCATTTGTATATCTTCTGGTAGAAATGCCTATTTAATTTCTTTGCCCATTTTTAAGTGGATTATTGGTCTCTTATTGATGAGTTCTAAGAGTTCTTTTTATATTCTAGATAAAAGGCTCTTATCAGATATACGATTTGCAAATATTTTTCTCCCATTTTGTGGGTTGTCTTTTCACTCCCTTGGTGGTGTCCTTTGAAGCATGAAAAGCATTTCGTTTTGATGAGTCTTACTTGTTTTTGTTTGTTTGGGTTGCTTGTTCTTTGAGTGTTGTATCTAAGAAATTGTTAACTAACCCAAAGTTTTCCTCCCTTAAAACTTCCTTTTTTGGGGGGGGGGCAGGCACGGAGGGAGAGAGAGAGAATCTTAAGCAGGCTGCACACTCAGTGCAGAGTCCAATGTGGGGCTCGATCTCATGACCCTGAGATCAGGACCTGAACTGAAATCAAGAGCTGGACCCTTAACCAACGGAGCCACCCAGGCACCCCTCCCTTAAAACTTCAAGCTCAGTTTTCTTCCTTTACAATTCTGCTAGAGGACATTCAAGCATCACCTCCTTTAGGAAGTTCCCTGAGCACCTGGTCTGATGTACATGCTCCTGCCTTTTTTTAAGATTATTTTTTAAGAGTATTTATTTATTTATTTATTTATTTATTTGTCAGAGAGAGAGAGAGAGAGAGAGCACAAGCAGGGGGAGCGGCAGACAGAGGGAGAAGCAGGCTCCCCACTGAGCAGGGAGCCCGATGCGGGACTGATTCCGGGACCCTGGGATCATGACCTGAGCTGAAGGCGGACGCGTAACCGACTGAGCCACCCCGGCATCCCTCCTTCTCTATGCTCTTATGTTGTGTTTTGCAAATGCCTCGCAGAGGACAGTGCTGTGTTTGTGTGTGCCTCACCCACTCGATTAGGGGTTGGCATACTACAACATGAGATTTGTTGGGACAAATCCAGCCTGCCACCTGTGTTTGTATGGCCTGTGAGCTAAGAATGGTTTTCCTATAAATGATTGGAAAAAATCCAAGGAAGGGTACACAGGACCTCTGTACTATCTTTGCAACTTCTTGTGAGTCTTTGAACTATTTCAAAACAAAAAAACTTATTTTAAAAATCAAGAGAAGAATCATGTTTTGTGACACATGAAAATTACATGAAATTTACACTTCAGTGTCCATTAATAATGCCTTATTGGAACACAGCCATATATATCCGTTTAAGTATTGTGTACAGCAGAGGTGAATAGTTGAAAAAGAAAAGGTTGCATCATGGCCTGCAAGGCTGAAAATACTTACTCTCTGACCCTTTATGGAGAAAGTTTGCCAACCCCTGGTGTGCGCTGAAATAGCAAGTCAGTGCAGCCTCGGTGACACTACCTGATGACTAATATAAACTTTTACACTATGACAGGAAGCTGAAAGCGTTACCCCCCTCCACAGCCCACCTTCTGACCTTTGAGCATACGAGGTCAAGTGCACCATGAGATTCTCCTGCAGCTTACTGCAGTGAGCATTGAATTTCCTGACTTGTGTTTAGTGGCTTGTCGGAAACATGTATCTGAGAAAGCCTCTTCTTTGATGGTGCTGAATCTGTTATTTCCATTCCAACTTGTCTGGAAGTTTCCACCTGACTTTTGAGATGTATTTGAAGACCAAATTAATAATAGTTTCATTCACATTGCTCTGAAGCTTTGGAGTGTATGAGACCTATTATGTTTCTCTCTTAGGTGTTCAAAGACAATTGCTGCAAAAGGGAAGTCCTCAATTTATATGTGTATTGCAAAAATGCTCCTGGTTGTAATGCCAAGATTATTCTGGGACGATACCAGGTTGGTATTCCTCATGACCAATATTTGCCTTTGTCATTTTTTCCAGTGATGTGTATTGAGCACCTTTATGTGTCAGTTCCTGGGCCAAGCATGGTACGAGGCTCACTGGGTTGTTCTCCGAGAATGCCTGTCTAGCAATACATTTAGCTCCAGTACAGCACACCAAGGGCTAAGGTGTGAGTGAAAAGGTCCATTTTGTTTGGAACGCATGGAGGGAATACTATCTGTGCTAGACCTAAATTATGGGTTAGGGGTCATTGATCCAAAAGAGAAGATGTGGGGCAAAAGGACGTGTCATTTGTGGGGAACTGTGAAGGATTTGGGGTCCCCAGGGTGGAAGCTATGGCATCCTGCAGAAAGATATGATTGCAAGAGACCCTGCCCGAAAGTATTGGCAGGTGGTGGGTGGGTGGGTGGTTCCCAGCAGCTGTGGGCTGTGGCCTGTTAGTTTGTGACCTGAGGCATATAATGCAGACCAGATCAGATTTGGGATGTGGTTTAAAGGTGAAGCATTGGTATGAATTGCAAACACGTGAGGTGTAGGGGTAGCGAAGGGGAGTTACTTTCACATGAAACTGCCCTGCCTGGTTCTTCCATCCAGCTGGGGAAGCCGGAAGCTTGGTAAATGTCATACTGGAAATGGGGCAATAGGGCTCTGCCATGGCAGGCCCCTGGCAGGTTTGATCACACTGTGCAGGAATAAGAAGCAGGCATCTCTGGCTTCCAGAGAATGGCTTGGAGGCTGCTGAGATTTTCCTCTCCCACACATACATTTTGGAATACATTTCAGGTGATTCAGCCTTTTCTCCACCTTGCCTCCAAACCCCCCAGGCACTGAGTTCCTAACATGTAAATGCTTTCCCCGTTAACCCCAGGATTTTTCTGGAGGTCACTGAACTTCCTAGAACTTTCTCACATTGTGATAGGCCCTAGAGCAGGGCCTCTTTTCCAATTTTGTTGTCACGAAGCCTGAGCAGGAAATGAGGCTCAAGCTGGACCATCCAGCTCATCAGCTTTTGTGACCAGATCATCAGCTTCTGGAGAACAGTGGCTGGTTTCTTTTCACCTGTTTACTTCTGTTTCCCCACCTTCCTGCCCCCCACCCCCACCCCGGCTTGCATGGTGAGGTGTAGGCTCTCCCCAGGTAGTGGAATCCTGATGAGTGTTGACTGTCTTCGGTGAGAGTGAATTTTGGAGAATTTTGGAGAAGATACGGATTTCAGTGAAGAAACACTCTTTGTTTCTTATTCCTAGAGGCAAAGGAGAGGAGCTATAATATTCATTTACCTCCTGCAGAAAAACTGGTTGCTTTTTCTCTCGTTCAGGAAAGGGGTGAGCAGACTGTTCTGTCAAGAGCTAGTTAGTAAAATGTTTAGGCTTTGCTGGCCACACAGTCTCTGTATCCGCCCCTCAACTCAGCTCTTCCCTTTCAGAGGGAAAGCAGCCCCCCCCACCCCCCCATCCTCCCCCGCTCCCCGCAGTATGTAAACAAGTAGATGGGTGGCTGTTCTCCAGAAAAACCTTACTTACAAAAAGTAACAGCCCAGCTGTGTTTTAGGGGATCTCGCAGGGGACGGGACCATCACAATAACTTGCAGTGATCCAGAGGTTTTATTAAGGTACGCCTCCTGCTTTAAAAAATCTATACCATGAACAATACTGGAACGAGCACTGTCCATGTCATCGTTGTCTCATATTCTGGTGGAGAACATTTTCTGACCACAGCCTGACCATTCCCAGCTTGTCTTGGGCCTGGGATCCTGTATTTCTTCTGTCTGCTTTTCTTGACCACTTCTGGAACAGCTCCTACTCCCTCTCCCCATTACTGTCTTCAATCCTTTCCCTTCCTTCTTGCACTTAGGACATGCCCTGCTCTTCTTCCCTCTTTCTCCTCCGTCCTGGCTTTTGCCATCCGCTGTGCAGAGATTAGTACTTGGTGCCGGGGGTGCAAAAAGAAATGAAAAATGTCTTTGAAGAATGGATAAATCACTCAGCGAGCCTAAGGAAAATATTCAGGAACTAACCTGAGAATCTGAGCTAATAGATAATCTGAAGTAGACTCAACATGCTTCCTTCTCCAGCCATCTTCCCTGTCCTCCCAATTCCTATCAAACAAGACTGGCACGGCCTGGGTCTGCCCAGCTGCTGCCCCCCGTGTCCTCCCTCCCTCTCTAGGCTTCCAGCTGGCCCCCCCCCGTCCCCCCGCCCTGGTCAGTGCGGCCCACTGGCCTGTTTTTTCTGTTGCAGGACCACCTCCAACAGTGCCTATTTCAAGCTGTGCAGTGTTCTAATGAGAACTGTCAGGAACAAGTCCTTCGGAAAGATCTGAAAGAACATTTGAGTGCACGTTGCCATTTTCGAGAGGAAAAATGCCTTTATTGCAAAAAAGATGTGGTAGTAATCTATCTACAGGTAAAAAGAAAGAAAAACATACCGTCTTTATGGGACTAAATTCTCCCTGAGCGGTCACAGTGAATCGGGACATTACTGAATTTATTTTTGTACAGAAATAGGTCTGAAGAATTTTCTGAGAGTTCCGTAAAAAGCGAAAAACCTTCTTGTTGGACTCTAGAGTAGGACTCTACTCATTTATCATTGGCAGAAGCATTGTTTGAGCACCTACTGAGTGTGAGTGTGCAAGGAGCGCTGCTGGGTGCTGGGTCACAAGGAGGTGACGATACTGTGTCCTCAGGGTGCTGTGATCTAACTGGAGTGGCAGGATGTAGGCAGAGAGAGAGATCATGGGTACCTTTTACATGTACTGAAGGAGCCATACTGATGACTCCCATAGTCTGCCCTCCGTGAGTCCTCTGCCCTCTGACCCTCTTTTGGAATAATTGGAAAATTGAATTGAATTCATGGGAAGGAGGTGGCCATCTTTAGTCCTTTTTGGAACTAGGCTGTACCTTCCTGTAGAGGGCAAGCCACATAAGATCCCCAGAGACATAGCATAAACACTCTGAGGCCGTAGAAGGGAACCCTGGGAAGCAAGGATTGGCTCTGTTTCATCATCCTTTCTCTGTTTCAGAATCATGAGGAAAACTTGTGTCCCGAGTACCCAGTATCTTGTCCTAACAGGTGTTTGCAGATTATTCCAAGAACTGAGGTAACTGTAAATGAATCTCTCAGTAGATTTTATGTAAGATAAAGTTTTAGTAACCACTGTGGTGTGTGTTTGATCAAATCCCACAGGCTGAGGCCCAAGGTTTAAAGCACACCCACAATAACCATGTCTCTGTGTCCCCTTCCCTTTTCCCTGAGAGTTCTCCATTTTTACTGTAGCTCTCCCTCCGCCATGCCTCAGCGTGGCTTTTCCCCTTCTGTTTCCTCCCTCCTTCCCAAGTCACCTTGGGGTTCCCTGCATGCTGTAGTTCCCTCAGGCAGCTGGAGAATTGGTGATGAATTTCGGTAGCATGAGGTGTCCCTTTCGTAGGTGGATGAACACCTCGCTGTGTGTCCTGAAGCTGAACAAGACTGTCCTTTTAAGCACTATGGCTGTACTGTAAAGGTATGGGATGCCTTTTTGTTTCTGCCTCTACATTCTACTGTGTAATTTATTTGGCAGGTTTATTTTACTCTTTGATTCCATTCAGGATGCAGAAGGACATTCACTTTGGAAGAACTTTAAGACTGGCAGTGTTATTAGTCAGGGTTCTCCAGAGAAGCAGAATCAATAGGAGATATGTATCTACATATAGATACATAGAAATTTATTTTAAGAAATTAGCTTATGTGATTGAGGGGGCTGGCAAGTCAGATTATTTGCAGGGCAGACCAGCAGGCTGGAGTTTCTCTGTGATAGTCTTGAGGAGAAGTGCTTCTTCTTCAGGAGACCTTATTTTTTGCTCATAAGGCCTTCAGCTGGTTGAATGCGGCCCTACAGCATTATGGGGAGTAACCTGCTTTACTTAAAGTCAACTGATCGTAAATGTTTATCACATCTACAAAATACCTTCACGGCAACATCTAGATTAGTGTTGTTTTGTTTTTTTTTTTTTAAGATTTTTATTTATTTGACAGAGAGAGAGAGACAGCGAGAGAGGGAACACAAGCAGGGGGAGTGGGAGAGGGAGAAGCAGGCCTCCTGCTGAGCAGGGAGCCCGATGCGGGGCTCCATCCCAGGACCCTGGGATCATGACCTGAGCCAAAGGCAGCCGCTCAACCGACTGAGCCACCCAGGCGCCCCCTAGATTAGTTTTGACCAAACAACTGGGCACCATAGCCCAGCCAAGCTGACACATAAAAATTAACCATCATGGTAATTTTTCTAATTTGTATTCTGTTGTCTCTACCAGAGTTTGAGACTTTCTGGAGTCATTCTTCTGATGATTATAAATCTTGGTTTTCTGGTACCCCCAGTCTATCACCAAGTATTCTGAAATAGAATTGATTTGAAATCATGTTTTAAAGGGTATTTTATTACCTATTAAAGACCTTTAAAAATATTATTCAATAAATTGTATAAAATAAATTAAAAAAAAGAAAGTTTGATTCCTACCTCATTTTAACATATTCCAGATGGATCAAAGTTTTAGGCATTAAGATATATCATGCACTGTATTATTTCACACTTTGTGTACAGCTAAAATTACTCCAAATAAAAAGTTTATTTTAAAAAATCATAAAAATACTAGAAGAAAAGGTGAGCGAATTTTTTTTTATTCTTGAAATAAAGATCGTTCTTAGATGACTAACACAAAACCAGAAGCTATAATTTTGATGTTTAACCACAAATATTTGAAACTTTTATACAATTTTTAAAAATACCATAAATAAAGTCAAATGGCAAACCACAAACTGGAAGTAAATATCTCCAACATATGACAAGACAAAAAGGGTATTTTCCTTAATATACAAAAATTGTTACATGTAAATAGCTTTTCCAACTTAATAGAAAAATCGGCAAAGGAATATATGAGTAGTTCCAGAAAAAATTCAATTGACTAATAGATGTAAAAAAAAAGACACCCCATCTCACTCCTAAATAAATGTAAATTATAGCAAGAAATAAAACTTTCACCATCAAATTGACAAAGATTAATACAATTTATAATATATAACTTTTTATGAGGGCAGTTTGGTTATATCTATGAAAAGTTGAGGGTGCTTGGCTGGCTCAGTCAGATCTTGATCTCAGGGTTGTGAGTTCAAGCCCCATGTTGGGCATACAGCTTAGTTTTTAAAAAAAAATCAAGTAAAATAAAAGATTCTTTATTTAAGAAAAAAAGTGAACCCACACATTGACCTTATAATTCTATTGCTAGGAATTTCTCATAGATACTCTTTCATAAGTATGCAATGATTACACACATACACAAACACACTCACACAAAGATGTTTATATAGCAAAAGAAAACAAAAAACTAAAAACCTGTAAGCCCATCACTAAAGTGCTGACTATGTAAGTGTATATATTTGTATTTGGGAATGGCATGCATTTGATAAAAAGAATAAGGTACATATTTTTAAAAATTGATAAGGTTATGATCTCATTGAGTTAAAAATGTGTATATATCATCGCTGACTCTGGTGAGTGAGAGACTAGGGAATTGGGGGTGGTGATGGAGAGAAGGAGCCCTTTTGCTTTTTATTCTCTATCTTGCTGTATTATTTGACATAAGCATACATTTCTCTTATTTTAAAAACCTATTGGAAAAAAACGTATATTGTGAGAAGTCTTTTAAAAAAAAATCAGTGAAGAGGGTGCCTGGGTGGCTCAGCTGGTTAAGCAAGTGCCTTCGGGTCAGGTCATGATCCTGGAGTCCCGGGATCGAGTCCCGCATCGGGCTCCCTGCTCGGCAGGGAGCCTGCTTCTCCCTCTGACCCTCCTCCCCTCATGTGCTCTCTCTCTCATTCTCTCTCTCAAATAAATAAATAAAATCTTAAAAAAAAAAAATCAGTGAAGAGTCCATACATTTTCACATATCAAACCAGTGATTGTCTTGGCTGCAAAACAGATAGGGTTTACCTTTTTAGTGCACGAAATACAGAATTGCTTTCCAGCTCTGAGAGAAATCTTCTTTACAGTTAGGCCTAAACTCCCAGTTGGGCTGTCCTCTAGAACTCACCTCAGTACCAAAGCTGAGGATGAGATTTGTTCTCTGGAAGAGGGGCCATTCCTAAACTGGAGGGAAATTGATGGTTAATGTACGCTTAGGTCCACGGAATCACCCAGAACACCTAACATTTGCTTTTACTAGTAATATAGGCAGTTTGCAATTCAGTATTTTAATGATTAGGGAAGAAGTTACCCTTTATTCTTGCAAACATATTGCTTGATTTTGAGGGCAATGAATTTGCGTGGGCTGAAATTACTATCAGGTTGCGTACCTTTCACCTTTGGTAGAAGGGAGCATGGAAATGTGTGCTTGGTAGGAGAGAGAACTCACCTAGGCTTGACACTGATCTGAAGCTAACCCACCAAGGAGATAGGTTTTATGTGGGACTAGTTGAGAGATGATAACTACACTTAACCCACAGTCCTAGATTTCCAGTGCACAGAAGGAAATCTGCTTCTGAGAATTTTGACAGTGGCCTGATTCTCTGTTTCTGTAAATTTAAAATTGTCTCATGGGCACCTTAGAATCCTGGAGCTGGAAAAGGGACCAGAAGGGGCTATTTTTTCCTGCAATCCACCTTTAGACAAATAAGCAAAGTTGCCACAGTTCTGCGTTAGCAGAATATCCCCCCACCACCTTCATTTTTGGAGCCTTTCAACAACCTGACTTCCTTTCGTCTTCCCATTGAAGGCTAAACGGGGAAACCTGCAGGAGCATGAGCATTCAGCCTTACGGGACCACATGCTTCTGGTTCTAGAAAAGAACTTCCAATTAGAAGAACAGGTAAATATTCAAGGGTTCACACGTAAAGGGAGGCAGCACAATTGCTGGGATTGGTAACTGTTGGTATTTTTACATTCTCCTCTGTTTCAGTACAAGTCAACTGGAGGTAGATGTTTTTCTACTAAGCGGGCAGGCAGACTCATAGGATTATAGAACATTAGAACTGGAAGGTGCCTTTGAGGTCTTTGGGTCCAACCGCCTCATTCAGCAGATACAGTGACCAAGCTCAAAGAAATTTTGATGTGTTTGTAACTTGTAAGTGGCAGAATTGAATCTCAAACCCATGGCCCCTGAGTCCAGTGCTCCGCATGAAATACCATACAGCCTCTCTGCAGCCTAATTTAACACACCTTCTGGTTAATATTTGGCACCTGGTAGGTGACGAGTAGGCGTCTGATGTTTTTTAATTAGCCCAGTGTTGCTTTGAAACAACAGTTGACCATCTGTTCTAGGCATTATGGGTTTTATATATTTTGCAGTAAGTCTTAACTCCTGCCCCTGAGAAGCTTTGCAGCCTGCTAAATGCATACATCCCTCTTTATGTCACTGAGTTGGGATTATCAAGTGAAATTGTGTGTGCGAATGCCTGCCACAGTACCTGGAATATTCATAATGGACCTCAATAAATGCTGATTCTGTGGAGTAATTATTCTAAAAGTTAATTGTTTTGTTAGAACCTCTCAGAGGATCAGACTTCGCAAGCCCATGGCAGGAAGAGAGGGAGCCAAATTCTACTATTGCTAATCATTTTCTGATGTCTGGTTCCGTATTAAAGGAAGTGTGTGAGTTTCAAGGTCAGATCCTGGAGAAAATTGGGAAGACCAGTTAAACTGTAACTTTGGTAGAGGGCACGCTGCCTGGTAACCATGCCCAAGTTCTTTCTGTACCACTCGCCTCATCCGTCCATCCATTCATTCATTCAACAAACACCTGCCATATGTCAGGCATGAGGTTAGTTGCTAGGGGCTCTGAGTGGAGGAGGATACGGCTTCTGCCCTTGAAGAACTCAGGAAAATGCAAATAGATAAGTTGCTGTGCCCTGGGACATGCTGTGGCTCAGTCTGGGGTACGGAGGATGCAGTGATTTCCTCTGTGGCGGTTGGGGGAGGCTCTTCAAGGGAGCACATCCGAGCTTCGCTTTGAAGGAAGAGAAGATTCGTCAGCCTAAATGTTGTGGAAAGAGGACGTTCCAGAAGAGGAAAGACAGGGACGCATCAGGCTGATGGTTCAAGGAACGGGGGTTTTGGGGTGGTGAGGCTCCTGAGTGTGAGACGGGGAGAGCTGGAGACTGGTATGCTGGATCCACCTAGCAATGGCCTTCCACGTAAGCTAAGTTGCAGATACTATACATTCAATTATTTTTTTTATTCATTCATATGCTGCCTTGTTTCAGAAAGGATTTAAGGGCCCAAGTTTGAACTAATGTTTGTCAGTAATAGGGAGCTAATAATGGAGGCTTTGAAATAGGAAAATATAGGTTTCCCCCACTATGGGAAAGTAGAGCAATCCTATGAAACCTATGAAGGGGGAGTAAAGCAAAGAAGCGGTTACCATTTCGTAAAAAGCGAAAATCCTCTTTGACTTCTTTTGGTTAGTGAAAACAGGTACTCACAGGGCTTTCATAAAAACATAGTGACATTAGGTGAACTTTTGGATAGTGGGGCAGGCGAGGCCCAGTGTGTGGCCAGCTAATTGTCTGTTTGGCTCTGAAAAGTAAGACAGCTGTGGGGCACCTGGGTGGCTCCGTGGGTTAAGCATCTGCCTTTGCCTCAGGTCATGATCTCCAAGTCCTGGGATGGAGCCCCATGTTGGGCTCCCTGCTCAGTGGGGAGCCTGCTTCTCCCTCTTCCTCTGCCCCTTCCCTTCCCCCTGCTCGTGCTCGCTGTCTCTCAAATAAATAAGTAAAATCTTAAAAAAAGAAAAAAGGTAAGACAGCTGGTGGTAGCATAGAAGACAGACAGAGGCAGAGAAGAGCAGGAGGACAGGGGCCCAGGCGGAAGGATGTCGTACTAACCTAGACAGGGTAGCAGGAGAGCCTGGCGATGGATGGGTGGGGGCTCCGGGGCCAGAACGCCTGCTTTGAAGACCTGGCTCCTCCCTTGCCATGTGGGTTTGGACGAGCTACTTAACCTCTCTCTTCCCCGTTTCCTCATTCATAAAATGGGGTTGTGGTGAGGGTTAAGTGAACTGATATATTTAAGCTCTTTGCACAGTGCCAGCATGATAAGCAGCTCAGTATTAGGCGAAGGCAAGATAGTGGAGCTGGCAGTGCTGGTGGTGCTGGGGAAGGTCAGCCCAGGCTGTGTCTGGGGATGGAGAGGGCATCGAGAGAGGTCGGAATGACAAAGCTATAAGTCTGGAAGGCAGAGGACATGGTAGTTGTTACCTGAGATGGGCACTACAGGAATGGGAGCAGAGGAGAGGAGAGGGTGGGGAGAGGAGACACCAAGGTTGGCTTTCAATCAGGGAGATAGGTCTGCCATGTAGGTGGAAGTCAGCTCTCAGGGTCTACATGGAAGATTCTAGGGTCAGAGATCACATGGTTGTTAGAGCCATTCATGTATTCATTTATAAAACATGTATCAGATGCCCCCTGGGTGCCAGGCACTGTGCTAGGCTTTGGGGATGAAGAAATGAGTGAGATGTAGCCTCAACAATTTAGTGGAGGAAAAAGAGTGAAACAACCCCAGAAAGCAGTAAGAGTAATGAGGGTAAGTTAAATGCTAGAGTGTGGTCAGGGGGTCTTGGAACTGGAGAGAGGACCTAGGTTGGTGGTATGGTGAGGAAATATTTCTGAGAGAAAGTGCCCTTGAGTGGAGGCTGAAAAACTGGTGGTTTCTAGAGGGAGAAGGAAGCATCTGAGAGAGCAGGACCCAATGGACAATAGAAGTGTGTAGTCTTGCTGGGCAGGGCACTCGTGAGATGCGGATGGGCAGGAGGCCAAGAAGGTAGCCAGGGCCAGATCGTGTACGGTCCTGTAGGGTCTGTAAAAGAAGGCCACTGAGGATGGTTAAGGAAGGGGGGGACGCGACAAACCAGATTTGTCTCTCCATATAACTCTGGTTACAGCATGGAGGATGAATTAGAGGAAAACAAGGCTAAAGAAAGAGCATCATTTATTCATACAGTCACTCAACAAATATTTATCAAACAGCTGCCGGGCACCAGACCAGTTCCTGGGGTTACACTGGACTGTGGGACCCATGTCCTAGTTCCCATAGAGCTTCCCTTCTGGCGGGAGTGCGAGGGGTGGTGTAGGACCAGTTGGAAAGCTGTGGTCACAGCCCAGGTGATAAATAATGAAGGCTAAAACAGGTGTTGAAATGAAATGAGATGAAATGAGAAGTGGATATGAGAGTCGTGTTTGCTTTGCTGTGTGTCAGGAGTTAAAGTTGGTAAGTATGGAGGATTGAATGGATGAGGGGATAAGAGAAGAGCTGTCCAGGCTCATACAAGGCTTTTGGTTATTTCCCTCAAATACATTACAGATTCTAAGAACGTACCATGTTTTGCCTACCACTTGCCAAGCTAGCTGTATGCTGGGCAGGTTACTTAAACTCTCTGCCTCTGTTTCCTTGTCTGTAAAATGGGACTGATAGTCATACTAACTCATGGGGGTTCTTTGAGGATTAAAAGAGCTAATGAATATAAGGGTATGACAGACATTCAGCAAATGTCAGCTGTTACTACTGATACCATGCAGATAGCATCTTCTGTGGTATGGTGATCGGTACTCACCGATGGTTGAGTGGTTGTTCCTAAGTGCGTGCTGAATGAATGAAGAGAACCAGTCAGTGAATTTAGTCAAGTGATGTTACTATCATTAGATGATCCATCATAGCGGGGTAAGTATGGAAAAGACTGACAAGAAATCTTTGGATCTGGTTTTTTTGAAGTACCTGTAAATATTATATAGGAACCTACTGGTAAATATTTTCCTAGAAATGTATATGTATGTGTATATGTATATATTTTTCTAGAAACACTTTCTTACCTGCAATATTTTCCTAGACCTGTATTTACATTATTTTAACTTGTATACATGCATTTAAATGATCTCATTCACATTCCTGTTATTAGATTTCTGATTTATATAAGAGCCTAGAGCAGAAAGAGAGTAAAATCCAGCAGCTAGCAGAAACTGTAAAGAAATTCGAAAAGGAGTTCAAGCAGTTTGCACAGCTGTTTGGCAAAAATGGAAGCTTCCTCTCAAACATCCAGGTGAGAAATGGCCTCTCTATTCATAGCCAAGATTTAGCCTTCAACTGGCCGTCCAGGTTTTCCTTACAGCTTCTTAAGTGGAGATAATTTCAAATGTAAAGAAAAGCTATAAGAATAAGATATTGCTTAAAAATACCTGTGTATTCACCCAGATTCACCCATCGTCAGTATTTTGTCCCCTATCTCTCTCTGTTGCGGTATGTGCGTGTGTGTTCTTTCTGAACCATTTGAGACTAAGCTGTATATACTAGGGCCCTTTACCCTTACAAACTTCGGTATGTATTTCATAAGAATAAGGATCTTCTTTTACATAACCTCAACATTTAACAATGTCAGTAAATTTAACATTGATATAATACTTTTATACAATTTATGGTAGTTGGGGTTGCAATTAATGTTGGGCCAATATTAGTCCCTTGATGTCAGCTTCATTGAGAATATCTATAGTTCTGCATTTTGCAATCAACAAAGCGAAACTATTCATTCCCTTGGGAAGAAAACGCTTTAAACAATACTAAAATATAGCAAAAATTACTTTGCAAATCATGACTTAAATAATCATAAACACATTTCTAATGAATAATGTCTTTATTGTGATTACAAAATTGATAGTGAAAAATATTTTAAGACCTGTGGCACGGGTAGTATTTTTGAAATGTAGACTCTCCCAGAAAAAGGCAGGCCATATATTTTCCATACTTTGTCAGCATACTGTGTGTGTGTGTGTGTGTGTGTGTGTAGAAAAAAAAGGAAATCCCTGTCCCCCAAAAAAAGAAAAAAAAAAAGGAAATCCATCATATGTTACTATCTCAATTCTGACCTTTTTCTAACACAGAAACCCGTCAGAGTTAAGGTACTAAGGGGCAAGGGTAGAGGAGTAATATAGGTCTGGTTTTATTTAATCTCTTCCATCTAAGGAGAACAATCAAAAGTTAGGTCTTACCTCAGGGCACTTTGTACAACCTCTAGTGCTCACACCAGAACGGGCGGGTCTACTTCCAGCTCATTCTCTGCCTTCTAGGAGAGCAGGAGCGGATCAGGAGAGTAGCTTCTGAGAAGGAAGTTGTAGGCAAGTGGAGAGACAACAGGAGACTGGAGATACAGACAGGTTAGAGAACCAAATGGAGAGAAATTGAGGGAGGAGTAAAAGCCAGGTGAAGAGAAGTTCCAAGATTTGGAACAGCAGCTGGGGCAGGGAGGAGGAGGAAGATATTGGGTGGCTCATCTCTCTATGATCCTCACTGAATTTCCTCTTCTGGACTGTGCCTTTTTCATTTCATTAATTGATTAATTAAATGTGAAATGTTTGAGTTGAAAAAATTCAATCTTAGTGAATTACTAAGATAGTAACGATTTTTTTTTTTTTTTGACATTATGATCCATGTTGTACTGAAAGGTTCTCGCCAGTCACATTGACAAGTCAGCTTGGCTAGAAGCTCAAGTGCGTCAGTTATTACAAATGGCTAACCAGCAACAAAATAAATTTGATCTGAGGCCTTTGGTGGAAGCGATCGATACAGTGAAACAGAAAATTACCCTGCTAGAAACCAATGATCAGAGACTAGGTATGTCTCATATTTTTACTTCTCTTTTGATGATTCTGTTGTCTGCACCTGGCCAAAGGGAGAGTTGCAGCTGTCCAGGATAAACAGTGGTCGAATCTGGTATTTGTGACACAGAACAGCATGAGATTCTGGCCAGTCAGGGGCTCCGGGGGAAGTGATGGAGGGCGATGGGCGGGGGCTGGAACAGGCAAGGGGTGGAAATGGGCCAGGAAATTCCAGAAACAGGGAGTGGTGGTTTTTAAGGAGAGTGGAAAATAATGAGAAAGCTAAGAGAGAGATGTGGCGGAAACATTGTTTTAAGTATAAAAAAATATAAAAGGGTTTGGCTGTTTAAAACCATTCCAGTTATTAAATAATGGGGCTCACCCTGCTAATGCACACCAGTTCAATGCTGTGTGTCTTCTCTACACTTTGGTGAGCTTCTGTTCAAGAGTATGCATTTGGGTTTTCTTCCAAGACACGAGATTCATTGAGTTAATTATTAACACAAATGGTCCATTGGTGGACAATGAATTCGGTTCATCATTAGATGTCAGAATTTTATGGGTTCTCTTCAGATACCAAATTCCACTGTGGGCAAATTCTAAAGACAGCTTTAAGGCCTATGGAAGCTTTTTTTTTTTCTTTGCAGTTGTTTTGGAAGGAGAGACTAACAAACATGATGCCCACATTAATATCCATAAAGCCCAACTGAACAAAAATGAAGAGCGATTTAAGCTGCTGGAAGGGGCCTGCTATAATGGAAAGCTCATCTGGAAGGTGACGGACTATAAGATGAAGAAGAGAGAGGCACAGGACGGGCACACGGTGTCCATCTTCAGCCAGCCTTTCTATACCAGCCGGTGCGGCTACCGGCTCTGTGCTAGAGCATACCTGAACGGGGACGGGTCTGGGAAAGGGACGCACCTGTCACTGTACTTCGTGGTCATGCGAGGGGAGTTTGACTCCCTGTTGCAGTGGCCGTTCAGGCAGAGGGTGACCCTGATGCTTTTGGACCAGAGTGGCAAAAAGAACCACATTATGGAGACCTTCAAGGCCGACCCCAGCAGCAGTAGCTTTAAAAGACCCGACGGGGAGATGAACATTGCGTCTGGCTGCCCCCGCTTCGTGGCTCACTCCACTTTGGAGAATGCCAAGAACACCTACATTAAAGATGACACCGTGTTCCTGAAAGTGGCTGTGGATCTAACTGACCTGGAGGACCTCTAGTCCCTGTTTCTGGGGTGAGGGAAGGGCGTGTTGGGCCCAGAACCATGGAGAAGGACACCTGTGTTTATCATATGGACAGACTTAGAGCTCAGTACACATTTGTAGTTGGCTTTTTGCCCCTGGTGTTTGAAGTCCGTTTAAAACTTCTCAAGTGCTGTCATCTTTTTACATTTTACTCTGTCCCAGTTTGAAACTTAAAACACTTAGACTATCCTCTCATTATTTATATTTTTATATCTCTTAAAAAGATGTTAAGTTTCTTGAAAGCAAGGTCTGGGGCCTGTCATTTTTACTGGTGCTTGGCATAGTGTCTCAGGGTAGGCACTGTGTGAAATGTTACTGAGGACACAGAGGAAGAATTGAAAATGCTTCAGCATTTTATTATTTGGCCTGCTGATTCTAGACCTGATCGTAAGCCTATAAAAGCCATCTTTCAGGATAGGCTGTCCCAATTACATAGTTGGATGGTGTACTTTTAAAGACAGTATGCCCAGTTTGGACCAGACTTTATTTGGTCAAATGCTAAATTTGTGGAAATTACTATACCTCTAAATATTTTCATTAAAATTCAGGCAGCAAGTACAGTTTTGCAAGGCTGCATTAGAACTGGTGAATAGAGAAAGATTTTCATTCTTCCTGTTGAAGTAAACAGAAAATATTGCGTGGTGTGTGTGTGTGTGTGTAGAGAGGAATACAGTATATACATATATATGGAGATATAGCCATCCAACTAAAGTTCATATTTTATTAGGTTCAACCATGTGAAAAAACTACTTTCATACATCAGAAAATGTCAAGTATTAACAGTTTCATGAGGTTCAATTTAGTACTTGTATATGTATACACCTAGTTTGAAGGTATTTTTGGTAATAATAGTAATGTGAGGATGGGCAGAATTTAGCATATGAATGAGAAAATGTCATAAATGGATAAGAGAAATTTAAAACTTAGGGAGAACACCATTTTTATTCCTGTGGTATCAAAAGTATTCTCATCCCAAACTGATTGCAAAAAGCAGTATCTCCTATTCTTTTTGAGAGAACTTTTGAATTCACAAACTCGTATGAAAATTTATATAAACTTGTGACTTATCGAAGTGTGAGTACTTTGTGAAAACAGAAATGATTATATTCTTATGCATCTATCTGTGTGGGTCTCTCTATACAGCCAGTTTCAGTTCACAGTGCCAGTCTCGAATGCAAGTAAACAGAACAGACAGCCACACACCCTTTGCCTGGTCCCTTGGACAATCAATCCAACTACCTCTTTTCTCTTAGAAAGTGGTTGGAGACAGGGGTCTTAACCTACATAAGAATTCTGAACTGGAGATAAAGCTTTGATGGATGCACAGCAGGGGACCCAGGTGCTGAAATCATCTGAGAACACCACATTTTAGGGAAGGAGGAAGAAGAGCTGGCTAAGCATTTAGAGAAGGAATGGTCAGAGGGAAGAGAAGTACCAAGAGAGGTGGGAAGGCAAAAGAATGTCAGCAGGGCCAGACCGCCCCCCTGACAACAGCAGTCTGTCCCAGTGCACCCTGAGCCAACTTTTAAACTCAGGGTCCCCTCCGTGCTGCTCCTTCCTCAGGAGCATCTCTGCATCTCTGCCCCTGGCCTTTGCCTTCAGCTGCAGCCTCAAATACCCAAGTACCTGCTGCACATCTAATCTTTGAAGACCCAAAGGTACTTTATCTTTTTTTTTTTTAAAGATTTTATTTATTTGACAGAGTGAGAGAGCACAAGCAGAGTGAGGGGCAGAGGGAGAAGCAGGCTCCCTGCCAAGCAAGGAGCCCAATGCAGGGCTCGATGCAGGGCTCAATCCCAGGACCCTGGGATCATGACCTGAGCCAAAGGCAGACACTTAACCAACTGAGCCACCCAGGCATCCTCCCGAAGGTACTTTAAAGTCCACTTCAGAACTGGAGATCTTCCGACTCTCCCTACCACTGCCAACCGATGACTCTTCCCATTTATTCTACCCCAGTTAATGACCTCATCCCCCAAGCCAGAAGTCTGGACACTGTCCTAGATTCCTCCCTCCCCTTCCCCATCCAGTCACCCACCCAGTACTGCCAACTGGACCTCCAAGTAATTTCTTTAAACTATCCCTACTACCTATCTCTACTGCCCACTACTTTCCAACAACTGCCCTGTTCGAAGGCCCGCATTTTTTGCTACACAACTTGTTTTATTTTTTTTCTTTCGCCACTGTCACATCTAACCTCACACTGCTACCCAGTAATCTAACATGAAAATCTGAGAACGACTCCTCACTCCACCCACTATCACTGTACCACCAATAGGACAAAGCCCGGCCTCCTTGGCATGACATACAGGGCCTGCCATGCCTGCCTCAGCCCCTCCACCCACCTCCTGCCAGTCCCCCTACTTCACCTTTAGCAATAGAACCACAAGCTGATTGGCATTTCTCTGTGCTGGTGCTGCACTTCTAACTGGAACACTCTTCTCTATTCTTACCTCTTTCTTTGCATGGTGAATTCTCTCTGTTTAAGATTCTGCTCTGGCCTCATCTTATCCAGGATGACTTCGCAAACTCCTTACTCACTGCGCCTCCCCTCCACCCCCTGCCGACCCTTCGCTAGGCCAAGAGCTCCTGCTCTGTGCTGTATACTTCCTTCTCTATACTTCAGTTGTTGGACTTTTCTTTTTTTCCAGAAAACAAATGTTAATTGGCTTTGTGTTTGTCAGATTTTTGCGTTAGGCACAAATAGAACAGATACTGTCCCTGTCTTCGTAAAATTTACAATCTGGAGGTCAGACACATGTGGTGAGCCAACGTGCTCAATGTGTAAATGTTCTCAGCCTCCTCGGTCTCTCAACTTCTTCCCCCTGTGCCCTGAGAAAGATGGATCTCCCAAACCAGTTCTGAATGTCTGTGATGCAAGATAAGAGAACAGGCAGAAAACATTTGAAGAGAGAGCCCTAGGGGCAAAATTTATGAAGAAATGCTAAACCAATGCATGGTTGGGGGGAATGAACAAAGAGAAAAGGGAATGCAAACCTATGAGATTGTCATAGATCAGCATGAGAAGGAGCAATTGTGACGGGAGCCCCTTTAATAATTTTTTCTTCCAAGAGACCCACGTTAAAGACTGAAGTACATTTAAAAATTTTTGGCTGCCTGAAGGACACTTAATGAAACTCCACCTGGAGACTGGACTCAGGTGCCAGGATTTATAAGGCATTTGAACAAACAGACAACAATAGAAGTTGTGGCAAATGCCTTGAAGAAGATGACGGAGCACAGGACTATGGGGCTGGGCTGGGGGAGAGTATGTGTATATACAGGGCTGTCAGGGAAGGCCTTTTGATGAGGTCACATGATATTCAGTGTTCATATGACAGGTTCTCTCAATGTCCAGCACTTTTGAACACCCGTTCGATACCTGAGGAGTTTCCTGTGAGAAGACTTGCCCCCTGGACCCCCTCTGCAGCCCAGGCAGAGGTGACCTAGGCATGGTCACACAGAACTTCAACTTGAAAGATGAAGTCAGAAAGAGTCAACTTTTTTGTTGCAAGAAAAGATTTGCAAGACAAAGAAGGAAACGTGCCAAACTCTGCCTACCCACTGATGAGCGAGCGTCCCAGAGGGAAAGCCCTGAGTTTCGGAGCCTGTGTTTGTAGAAGTTATGTTGGTGTCAGGTGCAGCAGTGGATTTTCGCTAGAGCTGCTAGTGTGTCTGGGTGTTGCACCTGGCTGTGCTGCACCTACATCTGGCTGCTGGTCTTCCTGGACACTCTCTGGGTTACACCATATTGATCAAGTCCCTTTCTCAGCCAGAGTGGATTCTGCTGTCTGTAACTAAGAACCTGACTGAGTCAAGCTGAGACCTGAAAGACGAGTCAGCCATGATGAGTCAGCGCAGGTGGGATGAAAATTCTGGGCAGAGGGCACCACGGAGTGAGAGAGTTGGTTTAAGGAACCAAGAGGAAGCCTGTGTGGTAAGAGTCACCAGAAGAGGGGAGAATGGCACTTAATGAGACTAGAAGGGGGCGGGCAGAGCCCAGAGTGTAGTGTTAAAGTCATAGTCAGGAGACTGTGGTTCATGTAAACTGTAATGGAAGTGGAAATCATTTTGGCAGGGGAATACGTGATCTGATTAATGTGTTCTAAAACTGCTCTGTGTGGAACATAGATAAGGGGACAAGAAAGGACATGGGAACAGTATTAAGGTTATGTCATACTGCAATTGTGTTTCTGTGTCTGGGTCCTTACCAAGTCATGAACTCCTTAAAGCCAAAAACCAGGCTAATTCAAGTGCGTAGAAGGTGCTCATTATATTAAACTGAATAGTGTATATACGATAATGTATATCTTTATAACAAATCTGCTGGCAGGTATTATGCCCATTTCATAGATGAAAAAACTAGTGATTAGAGAGACCTATGTGCTGCATGCTAGGCAGTGTCCTAAGGGAAAAAAAAAAGAATTTTACATATTAATTATACATTAACACACTAATCCTCACAGTAATCTTATCAGTTATATGCTATTTTATCCCCATTTTACAGGTGAGGCAACTGAGGCACAGAAAGGTTATTTAATAAGCTCTAGGTCACACAGCTAATAAGTGAAAAAGCCAGGATCTGAATCCAGGCAGTATGGCTTCAGAGTCTACTCTTAACCACTATATAAGACTGCCTCATGAAAATGCTGATAAACTCCATATGCTTATATAAAAAAAAATTTTTTTTTAAAGATTTTATTTATTTATTTGAGAGAGAGAGAATGAGAGACAGAGAGCATGAGAGGGAAGAGGGTCAGAGGGAGAAGCAGACTCCCTGCTTAGCAGGGAGCCCGATGTGGGACTCGATCCCGGGACTCCAGGATCATGACCTGAGCCGAAGGCAGTCGCTTAACCAACTGAGCCACCCAGGCGCCCTAAAAAAAAAAGTTTAAATAAGCTAAAATATAATAACAATAACCACTAGATAAAAATTTAACCTATAACTTCCAAACTACTAAAGAAAAAAAAATCTGGAAAAAGAAACTATCAAACCAAAGACAGAAAAGAGAAGAAAACAACAGGAAGCACAATATATAGAAAAAACAAGTTAGAATTAAATCCAAGCACATACATATGAAAGGCTTAAATTTTACTATTAAAGGAGGAAATATTTCCAATGTGGGGGCACATGCATATGCTTTTTAAACACATATCTACAACAAAACAGAGGGGTGCCTGTGTGGCTCAGTCAGTTAAACGTCTACCTTTGGCTCAGGTCATGACCCCAGGGTCCTGGGATGGAGCCCTGCATCGGGCTCCCTGCTCAGCGGGGAGTCTGCTTCTCCCTCTCCCTCTGCCACTCCCTCTGCTGCTCCGTGCTCTCTCTCTCTCTGTCAAATAAATAAAACCTTTAAAAAAAATAAGGAAGAAATTAATGAAGGCATACATTAACGAAAGAGAAAAAACTTCTAGATAAAGGTTATCAATAACAAAATCAATCAAAATTAATAAAAAATCAGAAGGGGGTTCAATAAATCTGATCAAGAAAAAGAACTCCAAAAGAATATGTATGAACAAGAACAATATGAGATTAAAAAAAAAAAGTTAATATCAGAGTGTAGAGGGCAAGATGGAGTCTCTCACGTTCAGCAGGGGCCTGTGTCAAGCAAGGATGCCAGCATTTAAGGGCACTGCA